GCTAATTGGAGTCTTAAATGCTGTTCTATAAGCCCAAAGTGTGTTGTCCAATTTCGTAGCCCAATCCTTACGTGATGCATTAACTGTAGCTTCAAGAATTTTCTTTAACTCCCTATTGGAGATTTCCACTTACCCGCTAGTCTGAGGATGATATGGGGTTGAAACGCGGTGTTTTACTCCATACTTGACTAGTAGTGACGCAAAAAGGCAGTTACAAAAGTGCTTTCCACCGTCACTAATAATTGCTCTCGGGTGCCATACCTTGTGAAAATGTTTTTCTTCAGAAATTTAGTCACCACCCCACCGTCGTTAGTTGGGAAAGCCACTGCCTCAACCTACTTAGACACGTAATCTACTGCCACCAGTATGTACTGTTGCCCGTAGGATTGAGGAAAATGTCCCATGAAGTCAATGCCCCAAACGTCAAATATTTCAACTTCCAAAATGCTATTTAGAGGCATCTCGTTCTTCCTTGAGATATTTCCAGTCCTTTGACACTTATCACAATGTTTCACCATATAATGTGCGTCCTTGAATAACATAGGCCAATAGAAACCCGATTGTAGTATCTTTGCTGCTGTCTTGGTTGCTGCGAAGTGGCCCCCATACGGTGCAGAGTGAAATGATTTCAACACTTGATGCTGCTCAACTTCTGGCACACAACGGCATATGATTTGATCTGGACCCCTTTTGTAAAGGATTGGATCATCCCAAAAGTAGTGTTTCAAGTCACTGAAAAACTTCTTCTTCTGATGTCTCAAGTAGTCCAGTGGGATGATGAAGTGAGCCAAATAATTCACATAGTCGGCATACCATGGCATAGTAATGATCTGAAAAAGCATCTCATCTGGGAAAACTTCATTTATCTCCTCCGTAGGGTGTGACTTATGTGATTCAAGGCGAGATAAGTGATCTGCAACAATGTTCTCGCTTCCTTTTTTATTTGTGATCTCCAAATCAAATTCTTGTAATAGAAGTATCCATTGAATAAGCCTCGATTTTGCGTCCTTCTTACTTATTAGATATTTCAATACTGAATGATTCGTATAAACAATCACTTTTGACCCAATCAAATATGACCTGAATTTGTCAATGACGAACACCACTGCCAAAAGCTCTTTCTTTGTAGTAGAATAATTCATTTGAGCCTCACCTAAAGTCTTACTAGCGTAGTGGATAACATGAGAAATCTTCCCCTTGCGTTGACCCAAAACTGCTACTACTGCATGATCATTGGCATCAAACATAAGTTCAAACGGATAATCCCAGTCTAGAGGAGCCAATACTTTTTCCTTTATGGTGTTGAAAACAGTCAAGCACTCCTCAGAAAAGTAAAATGGAGCTCCTTTTTCCAATAAATTGCATAATGGCTTTGAGATTTTGGAAATGTCTTTGATGAAGTAACGGTAGAACCCAGCATAACCCAAGAAACTTCTAATTCCCTTCACTGTTGCTGGCGGTGGTAGTTTTTCGATAACTTGTATCTTAGATCTATCAACCTCAATACCCCGTGTTGAAATTAGACGCCCTAACACAATTCTTTCCTAAGCCATGAAATGGCATTTTTCCCAATTTAATACAAGGTTTGTGTCTTCACACTGATGCAACACTTTTCCCAAATGTTCAAGGCACTCCTTAAATGATTTTCCAAACACTGAGAAATCATCCATAAACACTTCAATGATATTTCCCACCATATCCGAGAAAATAGACATCATACAACGTTGAAAGGTGGAGGAGCGTTGCAAAAACCGAAGGGCATCCTCCTATAAGCAAAAGTGCTATAAGGGCATGTAAAGGCCATCTTGTCTTGGTCATCTAGCACTATAGGAATTTGGTTGTACCCCGAATAACCATCCAAGAAGCAATAGTACGGATGTCCAGCAAGTCTCTCCAGCATCTGATCAATGAAAGGAAGGGGAAAGTGACCCTTTCTCGTGGCGTTGTTGAGTTTGGGATAATCAATGCAAACTCTCCAACCCGTGACTGTGCGTGTTGGGATGAGCTCATTATTTTCATTTGGAACCAATGTGATCCCTTCCTTTTTCGGTACAACCTATACTGGACTCACCTAATGACTGTCTGATATGGGATAGATGATCCCTGCATCTAGAAGCTTTAACACCTCTTTCCTTACCACCTCCTGCATAGTCAGATTTAATCTGCGTTGATGCTCAATTGAAGCTTTGTAATCGTCTTCCATCGGTATCTTATGCATGCAAAGTGAAGGGCTGATCCCTTTTATATCCGATATCGTCCATTCTATTGCTGTCTTATGCTCTCGAAGCAACCTCAGCAATTGATCCTCCTGATTCTATAAGATTATTCGAGATAATTACTGGAAGTGAATTCTTTTCCCCCAAATATGCATAACGAAGATGAGTGGGCAGTTGTTTGAGTTCAAAAGCTAGAGCTTGCTGTATATATGGTAAAGGTGTTATGGGTCTTTCACTGAGCTCCAAACGTGGTTGCTTGAAAAATGGTGGTATGGCTGCCAAATAACGTGTACATTCTTTTGCTTCCTCCTTTTCTGGTGATAAATCTTGAGAATGCATTAAACACGCTTCAAGCGGATCCTGAGGGTGATCCAGTTTGAATGTCTCTGACACCGCATCTTTTATTACATCAATCTGCATGCAAGAATCCGCTCTTAAATGTGAAAGCTCTAAACACGTTGATTGTCAGTTCTTCTTCATTTAACCTCAATATTAATTGACCCTTTTACACATCTATCAGAGCCCTTCTCGTAGTGAAAAATGGGCGACCAAATATGAGGGGGACATCCCTATCTTCCTCCATATCCAAAATAATAAAGTTCGCTGGGAAGATAAACTTGTCAACCATCACCCAAAATATCTTCACAAATACCTCGAGGGTGCTTGATCGACCTGTCAGCCAACTGCAATGAGATTGTAGTTGGTTTTGCTTCTTCCAAACCTAATTTTCTAAAAAGAGATAAATGCATTAAATTAATGCTAGCTCCTAAATCACATAATGCTTTATCTATATATAAATTACCAATGTTACAAGGAATAGTAAAACTCCATGGATCTTTTAACTTCGGTGGTAATTTGTGTTGGGGAATTATGCTACACTCCTCAGTAAGCATGACTGTTTCATTATCCTCCAACTTTTTCTTATTTGATAGAATATCTTTCATGAACTTGGCGTAGCTGGGCATTTGAGCTAAAGCTTCAGCAAATGGTCTGATAATGTGCAACTTTTTGAACACATCCAAAAATATCTGGAATTGCTTGTCGAGCTTTTGTTTTTGCAATCTCTGTGGAAATGGGATTAGAGGAACATATGCTTTGACAGGAGTAGTTGCTTTCACCTGTGGATTATCTGATGACTCAACTTGATTTTCCTTAGTGGCTTTGTCTAATTCATCCACTTGTTCCTCGCCCATGGCAAGTGCCTTTTCTATGACAGTTGCTGGTCGCTTTATATGTATTTCTGGTAACTGGACGCCACTACGTGTAGTGATTGCTTTGACGTACTCCATAGGGTTTGTCTCGGTGTTGGTAGATAACGTACCTTGAGCTCTACCTGATAGTGCAACTTCAATCTGTCCAACCTGTTGTTCCAAATTCTTGATCGAGGCTTGTTGGTTTTGAAAGCTGGTCTCAGTTTTAGGAATGTATTGAGCCAACAAATCTTCAAATGATGGCCTTCTCCCTTGTTATTGTTGCTGTTGGAGCCTTGGTGGTTTATTCTGATTGCTTCCTCCCTGTTCTTGTCCCTGATTATTGGACCATGAAAAATTTGGAAGGTTCTTCCGACCCGGATTATATGTGTTGAAGAAAGGATTATTTTGTTGTCTCTGAAATTTCTATGCGTAGCTTACTTCTTCGGATTGATTAACATGTGTAGACACCAAAGGGCAGCGTGTGCTAGCATGATCCACTCCACAGCCTTCACAAACAGGTGATGATTGGTGTACCATGTTGACTGACTTAGATAAATTGTCCATTTTCATTGTAAGAACTTCCATTTGCGCGGCCAGTGTTGTCACTGCATCTACGTTGTGTAACCCTAATGTTTTCCTTGGAGCTTCCCTATCAGTTGGCCACATCGATTGGTTTTCAGCTATTTTTTCATACAGATCATATGCCTCATCCACATCAAGTTTCATCACTGATCCTCCTGCTGAAGCATCTATCATATTTCTGAACTCTTGCTTTAGACCATAGTAGAAAAGATATTGCTGAGCCTGCTTGGGAATGTCAAGGCTAAGGCATTTTCTAAAATTTTTTTTGAACATCTTCCATGCCTCATGATAGCTCTCTAAATCTTTCTGCTTGAAGGTGTGAACGTCATTCCTAATTTGGTGAACTCGAGAAGGTGGGAAGAATTTCATCGTGAATTTTTGAACCATATTGTTCCATGATTGAATGCTCTCTAGTGATAAACAGAAGAACCATTCTCTAGCAGCGTCTTTCAAAGTATAAGGAAATAATCACATTCAGAATGCATCTGCTGATATCTCTTCGTGACTGATCACTTCACATAACATGAGAAAAACAGAAATATGCTCATGAGGATTTTTCGTGGCTTTTCCAAAGAACCTGATGTCTTGGTGATTTTGAAACAAATTGATGACATCTAGTCTGAGGTGAAAATTAGGTTGTTTGAAGGGAGGATATACCACAGCAGGTTGCACTGGTGCGGAAATTGGATTGACGTAATCTCCAACTAAGACAGGTGTTTCGTTCTGGATAGCTCTCGGTTGATTTGGCTGCGGTATTGACACGTGAAGCTGAAATTGATTTTGTGGTTGATTTTGATTATCATCCATTCTCCTTGCTTGACGTTGAACTCTTCTGTGATTTCTAAATATTTTTTCGATTTCGTGGTCTATCGAAGAGGGATTTGGCTCATCAGGATTTTGCATAAACTGAAGTCGTCTAAAAAGTGTAATAGTGGCCTAAAAGCAACAACTAAAGATAAACTAAAAATAAAAAATAAAAATAAAAATAAAAATGAATCTAAAATATCTAATAATTAAAATTAACACTGTTATTCCCCGGCAACAGCGCCAAAAACTTGTTCGTCAAATTCCCGCAAGCGTACGAGTTTGTTATACAAGTAATAATCGTGATGAGAGAGTTATCGTCCCACAGGGAATAAAGATCAATTTTAGTATACTGGATATATTTAAATTCGAGTTTGTAACCAAAAGATGATCGAATGAATAGCTAACTAATTTTTATAATTGAAACTTATTAAATCAATGAAAATTGATTTAAAAATCAAATGTGCGAACGTAATGGATTTTCGATACCACTGATCAATTCTTAGTTCTATTTCTCAACCAATAATAATTATATCAATTTATGTAGTTGCGACGATCGATAATTTCACTATTATTTATTATTCTTTTCCAAGATATAATAAACCTGTAATTACCACTAGACGATCATATTCCTAGTCCGAATTCATATGGCAAACATGCATTGACATTTAAGATTATCACACATGATCGCACACGTCACAAATATTATTCCTAATATTTATTGCCCGTGTGTCCCAATAATAGTGTTCTACCTATCGTGAGTTTTTCAACACTACGAATCAACAACTTATTGTCCTAATGGTGCGTAAACATTAAAACAATGTAAATAGGCATATTAATGGAATCACAACACATGAATTAAGATAAAAACATATCTCGAATCAAAACTAAAAATTAAACAATTTTGTCATCCATCCAATACATGAAAATATTTAGCC